GCATCAATAAGATTAGAAAAAATTAATATGAAAGGATGAGCAAGGAAAAAAAAAATTTATTAGAAGACAACATGATTTTAACTTCATAACTACAATTGTCAACTAAGAATTTAGCCAATAAAAAAAGGTGGATATCGAGGGAAGACATTATAAATGTCTCTATATGACAATATCAAACAAATATTGAAACAAAGCTGTGAATAAAAGCTAGTTTTGCATAATTGTCTCCCTTACAAAAAGGTACTCCACAAAATAAAAGAGAGTGAGAAAAGAGATGGCAAATAGCGCTGAGTATAAACTGCTATGTTCCTAGTGATGGTGGTTTGGGAAGCCATTTTAAAAAGACGGTCAATTAGATCACACATGATCATGATTTCGATATCAAAAAAGGAAAAGATTAGGGGTGTCAAGGATGTTAATATCAAAATCGATGACATGGAACCTCCTCTCAATGTAAAGCCATATCACAATAAGGCCATGCTTATATTGTTGTAAAGTCGGCAGGTCATGTCTAGATATAATTTGAACTTAAGCACCTCAAATATAATTTTGAATGTGTCAAACATGTGTAAAACATGTCATACATATAACCCATCAAACACAAACGTAATAGTTATCATAAAAAAGAGAGAAAATCTGGACCATTGAATGCTGATGGATATGGTCAGTAAATCTAGGAAACCTTATTTGGTTTTGCCAACCCTAGCAAAAAGAAATATATTGAAATAGCTTTGGAAAAGTTTGTGTATAAAGTTGAGTTTCATTATTATGGGCAGATAAATTAATAAAATAAGAGCCCTCTTAAATTGTGTAGTTTAAGAAATATCGTTGATTTAAAATCAGTACTACTGTAATTTGCATAGAAATAGGAACAATTACTGAAATTAAATCAATCCAATCTCCAATAAATCCTCCTCCACTTCCCCTTTTCCTCTTCATCAGTCGCTACTTAATGTTGTTGTTCCAGATTTCTTCATGATGATTGAAATGAGTCACTTTTTTGTGAATTTACTTATACGCTATCGTTTTTTTTTTAATTTCAATTTCACATAACTTATCATAATTTTATGCTTGTGGAACTTCTTTATGTTATTTTGCAGCTAATAGATGTCAAATACACAAAAAAAAATCAAAATGCGCGAAATAACGTCGTTCGGCGTAGTCACCATTGACCTGGGCATGATCATGCCAGTTTTGGGCGTGACTACCACCAGACGTCCAAAATTCAGATTTTGAGTGATTTCATGTCTGTTTTGGACCTATTGACGGATTTGGAGAGTTTGGACGCTTGTTTTAGATATCTAATGTAAAAACTAAATATAAAGACCTAGTGTCATGACAGAACTGTTTCTTGGCATCTTCTTGGTTTTTGGGAGGGAAGAGAGTTGGAGACGGTTAGAGAGAGATTTTGGAGAGTTGTTTTCCCTAGGATTCTCCTTCTCGCTTGAGGAAGAGGTCCTAATGGTGTTTTCCACCTTTTCCCTTGTTTATTTTCTTATATTTTTGTGAGATTATTGTATTAGAGAAGAATTGGCAGTTGTGAGAGATGGACAAATTGTGTTGTAAGTTCTTACCTTCAGTTTTTACTTGCAATAATGATTTCAATAGAATATTTTTTCTGCATTCTCCCAAACATGCGTAGCTAAATTTCCTTTCCCTCTCGTATGATTCATGGTATGTGATTTTTGTGATTTTCTCGAATGATTACTTTTCCCGTATCGTTTTTTTCTAAAAAATCAGGGTTTTTTCGTTGTTGTGTTAAACATAAAGTTTCATTTACTGTTGATCTGATCAATTAAGATGTTAACATATTTCATGATCCGTGGCTTTCATCCGTTGCACAGAAGAATGAAATGCTTAATCACAAAAGCCGAATAACAATGGACATATTTTATCTGATTTTGCAACCTAGAAAGGGGATTAAAAAAATCCGCGGAATGTCGTGGAGATTTGTGAAGTCTCAACCTCACGGATTCTAGCCTTCTTTTGACTTAGACATAGGCATAAAGAGGATTTTCTAACCCTGTTAACAACTATCACATAGGAAAAAGTTTAGGAAAATCACGAACTACCACATCAACTAAATCACAAGGGTGTGAGGCTCACATACTTTGAATAACAGTAAGAATTATCAGCCGTTGTTTTCTGTCTTTTCCGAACACGTTATCTTTTCTTTTCGCTTTCAAGTACGATTTTTGGAAACCAACTTCTGTTTGTGATCACACTAAACTATATTTAGGAGTTTAGTAAACTAGAGATTCGCCACGCAAAATGATTCTTAGCACATTTCTTCCAGAAGTGACACACAAACTACTTGCTGTTCAGTAGGAAAGGATCCCAAAACAGAAAAGAAACTTGCCATCCAAAACGTTCCAATAAAAAAAATGAGAAAACATTCAGGGGCCTCTATTTTGATTAATAAATCATTAGGAATCCTTTATAAGAATTTTCAAAAACTTTGCCTATCCACGATAGCCACTTATTATAGATTCATAGCATAATGATAAAAGGTTAAACATTGAATAAACTAGAACCAGGGCAATAATCCTTCATGAATCATTCAAACAAATAAGGATATCAAGGTATTAGTGAACTGCTTCTTATAACAAATGTATATAGAAAATAAAAAAAATGGGAGAGGAGTTATCATATGAAAGGCTTTGGTCATAAGGAGACATAGTATGATGCAACACTAATGATTGTATACGCAAGACGACAAGCAATAGTTCACATGCAAAACAAACACTTAGAGAGAGAAACTTAACATTTGTTCACAATTGCAAATCTATTCTCAATCACAGACCTCACTCAGGCTATTATGATGGCAGTGGCAAAAGAATGAAAGAACAAAAGAGTGGATAAACCAAAAAAAACATTTAAAAAAAATTCCTATTTCTCCAAAAACAGCAAGAAATGAGAAAAAAATATAAGCAATACTCCAGAATTTTTCCCTTCTCGTAAAACCAATGCATCTTGTAAAATTCCCTTCTGAAACCATTCATGATCATTATTTAGGCATCATACCATGAAAAGATCCAAGAAATTGAGGCCGTTGAAGTTTTGTAAGTACAAGCATTTGACAAAGAATGCTAATAATGCAAATTCTCCAATTTTACTGTTGAAATTAAAAATCAAATTAGCAGAAGTCAACGGTGAAGACAACTTGTAAATCAAATGTCAGACGGTAAATATGGGGGTCAAAAAAAGACAGTAAGACTGGCATGGTCTGTCAATCATAGAAAGTTTTTCCAGAAGACCAGATTGGCTGGCCAACCCAAGATTGAAACTTATTTTGGAATTAATTTGGATAAGTTAAAATTTAAATTTGAGTTTGCTTGTTTGTGTGGTCAGTTTAGCAGGGATAAGGTTCCCCTTAAACTGAGGAGTTAGTTTTAAGAAAATAAAATATGCCTGGAAACTAGATTCTTTCAGTCACTTGCCTATTCTGAAATGAATTAGATAAAATTTCTCTCAAATCCTTTCTCCTTTCTCCTCTTCCGCGCCCTTGACAACTGGCCAAACAAACCAGTATGCCAAACCACTTGCAAAAAAATTGCAGAAACTCATAAGCAAATAACAGCATAAATTACAGTAATTCAAAGCAAATTTCAGCTAACTAATTGCTGTCCAAAAGGAAAGAATCGAGATGAAACTTGCCGTCCACAGTAAGAAGAAAGAAAAACCAGAGAGAATACTATCTACAACACGAAAAATACAATAAGGCACATGTATTTTGATTATAGATCATTAATGTTCCTCTAAAAGAAAATTTCTATACCTTTTTCTATTCATTCTAGCCTCTTATTGTTGACATTAATCATAACAATAACAGGTTAGAATCAAATTAATGTGACACACATAACGTTGTTATCTTTTTTCTTACATTGTTGTTGATTGATTTTGCCCTAATTATTTAACCAAAATAAGAAATCTTCATAGTGATTTTAAATAAGCAAATAAAAATTGTACCTGAATAATTTTATAGCGAGTGATATTTTTTAGGTTAACAAAAAAACATAAAAAATATCAGAAGCTAAGTATGCAACAATAAAATAAGACTTATCTTTTCGCATTGATTTCTTTTATTTTATTTTATTTCCTTTTTCATTTGAGTGATGAGACCACAACAAATCACGTATATTAGCAAATTCAAAGAAAGAATCTACCCTGATTGCCCAACTTTTATAAGCACTTGAGTCACAAATACCACAACGAATCAAGTATATCAACCAAATCACAAAGTAAATGATAGACCTAAATTTTAAAAAAAAATTAAAAAGAGATCCAAATCATATATACATTTGAAGACCATGATTTCTACCTGAAAAAGATCACCCAAATAAAACCAAATTACAAGTTTGTACTTGATATTTCATGAACAAAAAACTGAGATGTGACAGGAAATCAGACGAAAAAGACTAACAAGCTATGAAAATAACTTCAATAAGAACTTGGCCTCTGGCCATGAATCACAAGAAGCACAGCAGTAGACTGTGTCATCAAATCACAAAGCAATGAATAGATGCACGATAAGAATGTGAAGATTACAATTTTTACTAAAAAATATCAGCCCAATGATTAAAGAATACATGAATACCCTTGATTCTTCATGAATAAAAATATGATTTACAAAAGCACAGACTAGCGAAATATGAGATGAAAAACTGTAAAAGATTATGAGGATAACTTGAATAATAACCTGTAATTCGGTCAGGCAATTCTTAGTGAGAAGAAACACGACAACCAAATAAATCAATAAGTTCACAAAGAAAATGAATAGATGCACATAATAAAGCACAGATCTAACAAATACTTCAGCGGATCACAATTTCTTCACAGATCCAAACACACACTTCAACGGAAAACACTTCTTTAAAAATTTTTTTAAGAAAAAAGCTGCAGAAATAAAAAAATAGAAGCATGCAATTCCGATTTCACTAACTGGAGTGAACATATTGACGAAGCTACATAGTATCTCAAAAAATTTGTGTAAACATTACCTTGGCTTGAAGAATGTCATAGTTCTTAAATGAGCATTTCTTTGAAGTAGAATCCAGCTTTTCTTTCATCAGAATACTGAATTCATTTGCACCGCAACAGAAATCGACTATCTGCCAAACACATTTAAAATTCTTTCAATAAATCAATACATTGAAAGTGGAAACCAAAACCCCAAAACTAAAACCATTTTCTTAGAATATTCAATAGAATACTTAAATTAACCAGTGGAATATGATCACGCAGAATTCTTCACTACTCCAAGCAGTTTAAGAATTGAATTAATGATGAATTTAGTAATCAAAGAGTCCACATATATTGCTGTGTGTCATGGTGAAGATAAAGATAACATTCAGAGACAATTTTTTGGCTATTTAGTTGAAGAAAGTTCCAGCTACAAAACTTTGATACCAGGTCCTGTATATCAAAAGCTTTGCAGGTAAAAAAGTATATATGTGATTCCTACAGCAGGGGCCAATTCGTTATTTTAAGTTTTAATTTGCCGAAGTGTTCTTCCAACATTTATAAAAGGAGTGCACGGCCATGAGAATACTTTAAATGTGAAATTAATATGGTGTCCAAGCCAGTAAGCCCATATAAGCAGAAGTTCGGTCTACTTTACAGAAGTACTAGGCTCATGAATTTTAAGTAACCTTTAAAAACAACAAATACATATTCATTGGAAAATCATTGCCAGAAAATCATTCTATGGGATAAAAGACAATGCCATAATAATTTGGAGCATGTGGATCACACATAATAAGCTTTATGTTCTGAAACAAACAAGAAAATCTAACTTATTCTATGGTATAACCATGAAATGCTGAATAGGAATAAAGCAGGAAAAAAAAAGTACATTGGTATCAAACCAGCCATGATATCACAAAAAACAAACTTTCGAGTAGCAAAAAACCAACCAAACAGTTCCATGTTAACGAAAAAAAAGAAGTTATTGCTGATCATCAAACAACGACTGAACAATAGCTCGTCATTAATGGAATTACTCCATAAGCCTTGATAAATTTCATGAATTCTCTAAAAACATCAACTATATCTCCTAGTAAATTATACAAAATTAGTGGATCCTTTTACATGGTTGACATGCTTAACAAGAAATAGAAGAGGACATGTGCATTACTACATCGATAAGAATGTTGTAATGCTTGGGAAAAAGAAGAAACTCTAACAGTCACTAACTTTGACAACTAAGACTAAACAATATTCCGGTTGAAGAAAAAAAAAACATTTTAACAGCGCTGCTTTGAGTTCATAATAACATCCTGCTAAAGCCAAAAAAGAGAGATTTTTATATAATCAAGTTTAAAAAGGCAACATTGGGAGGCAAGACGTAAGCCTCCTCGAGACGGATCGAGGCATAAGCTTCAGGAAAGAAATAAACTCATACAATTAAAAAAAAAATCATACCTATGTTATAACCCTTAATATGTTGATTTAATTTATTATCATAAAGACAAATCATAAATCTTAATATTAAATTTTGATATAAAATTAGAAGTTTGAAATATGATTCTAGGTAAGCAGACACTTAAACTTTTATAGAGTTGAAGATTCATAGTAGCCTCATCTATAGTTTCATCATCTTCAAAATAATTTTCATATTTATTATTATCTAATTCGATCTCTTTAAGATATTTTATGAATAACAATTAATCTGAAATTCAAAATAATTTAAAATAAAACAATAAATTAATAACATAATCAGGTAATCAGGTAAATTATATTTTGAATTTTTTGAGGCATTCAATAAAATATTTATAACATAAATATACAGTCTATTATTTACATTCTCTGACCAAAAAAGAGTTTATGTACATGAACTAAGTTTATTATTGACAAATCTCACACCAAATTTTTCTTATTTACATTCTAATTTGTTGTTCTCTTGGCAGGAAAGCTTCTGTCGAGAAAACAAATTCAAACAACGAAACAGCCCATTAGAAAAAGACAAAACAAGTGTTCTATACAAGCATTACAGAAGTATTCTTGTGCTACATGATTGTCAAAAGAATTAATAGTTCAATAAATATTTTACTTAAGCATACGTCATAAAGCACAATAATGTCCATTAATGTACAAAAAAACTTCATAATAGATTAATCTTTACATATTAATGTCTCAGGAAATGAAAGTCCTTGAACTTGTTTTACTCCTTTCAGAAATGAAGGGTTTTCAAGGATTTAGTAGCCAGACTAGTGAAAAAGCAGCTCCCTTGTTGTTTTCAATGACATGAACCAAACAGTCAAAGCAAGAGATGGCAAAATACATATGAAAGGCATTTCTTATATCCATGATATTGGTTGGGGACGATTTAGGAATTAAATCTCCTAATGCAACAAAGATGTTGTATTGCACGTCAAAAAAAAAAAAAGATAAAATATGATATGCTTATATTGATGAACAATCTCTTTATGAAAAAACTACCCCAAATGATTTAAAATTCAGTTGTTATAAATTATGTTCCTTCACAGGTTGCATGATGAAATTCTATATTTCAAGTTTCATAAACATTTACTATTAACAAATTCTCTGAGATATTGAAGCTACTTAGTTCTAATTATGAGGTATGTTCAAGGAGTTTGTATGCCACCAAACCAAAAATCAAAGATAAAATCGATATTAGTCTAACCATGCCTCAAAAGAATAACATCAATAAACAATTCCTTATGAATTGAGTTATCAAATTCCTTGATCAATCCGCAAACTATAGTAGATATTAATAACTCAATTTGGTGAACAAGAATAAACTCAATTTTATCATAGGTTTGGGGTTGGGGTAATATATCATGGTCAATTGTCTCAAACTGACTCTTGTATAAATATAGGTCCATGTTTAAAAATATGGTCTGTTGTAAATGTAAATTTATTAGACATAGACTCATAATATAACAACAAAATATTTCCCCATCAAAAACATTTTCAAATGAATATTCATGAAGAACAATTTCTTCAATGAGATCAAATTCAACCATACATAGTTCTATAGTGGTGTATTCAGAAAAGATGACATCAAATTGTGAATCACAAGTTTGATAACCCTAATAGAATGTTCAAAATATGCTTCAATATTAAAATATCTAAACAAAACACAATAATATTTTGCTTAATTGTAGCCTAGTTCATTCATAAACTCTTGCCTGAGATCTTTAATAAGATTAATTGCATTAAAATAATCTAAAAACAACTCGTGTAGCTAGAAAACAAGTAAACCTGGCGAATAAATAAACACACTAGGAAGTTAATATTTCTCACTTCTAAATTGATTATGCAATTTTTCTTATAGTCATCACATGATAGATCTCTCTCTTTAAGTTTACATTTCTATATCAACCTAAGTTGATTTGATTTACATGCAACACCGTCAAAATATATGACCATTACTCAATAATTTTGTTTCAGCAACATTTCATTTTAAAAATCAAAACTTGCTAAGTAGATAAAATTGCAATAGAGGACTTAAGTTATTTATCTAACCTATTTAAATTAGCATACAAGTTGAATTTCTTGATGAAGTAAGCAAAATCCTTCCTCAATCAGCTCACTACAAAGTAGAGTCAACCAAAGCAAAATTGCCTTGGAAAAATACAGAACAAAATGAGGCAAAAAAGATTAAGTCACTCTGACAGTCATAAACAAATCAAAATAAACTTTGTGGTTCCTAACGATCAGACTTGCTCAGAATTCAAAAATAAAATAAAACAATAATAACAATAATAATAAAAGCTTGCTCAAAATTCAAAACTAAGGAAAGATACACATTTACATATATTTTGAGCTGAATCAACATCAATAAATAAAGATTTTACCATGTCACCCTCTTGTACATACCACTGGAGCTTATCAACAATCTGTGTACAAATAAAAGCCACGCAAAAATTAGATAACATGAATACGATCAGATAACAGCATTCATTTTAAGGAAAAAAATTCAGGTCTCAATAACCACACTATTGCAACAGCAACCCTTCAAACTTTTACACAAATAACTTATCATGAAACTCTAGATATGCCTTGTGGATCACAAGTACTTCATGTCATTTAGGCAATTGCTGAAATTAAATAGAAAAAGAACATATATATTGCCTCTACTTGAGCATAGTGTCATCCACAATGTTTAAAATTCAAATGCAGATAGCATTCAAGTAAATCCCGCTATCGTATGCCTTGTAAATACAACTTGAACAAATATTGTAAATCCAACAATTGTAAGCGGCTATTTGGTTGTAATTATCTACATGAAAAACCCAAAAGCAGTGAAAATTTAAACCATGTTTTTGAAATACATAGTTGCTCGGTTGATTGGAAAATAAATAATCACATAGTTGTTTAGTTGGTTGTAAAGTGAATCAATAGTTTTGATACACACACACACACACATAAATCCATATGTATGCATACATAGGGATCTTAATATAAAAAACTAACAAGTGCCAAAATAGGAGTATCAGATGACTGAAGTGCAACCCAATTTTGTTTTTCCTTTGCCTCTAGTTCTAAGAAAGGAGCCAGCCAATAAATTGGTCAGATGAGTGTCATTGCCAGTAGTGACCAATGTATTGCCCAATAGATTCCCTAGCTCGAGTCGTCCTTCGTTCTTCTTCTTCCATCTCGTGTAGACATGTCATTCCTCATCCGAAGATTGGCTCACCTGATCAGCAGAATGGTCTGAAGTGTACAGGATATGTGTAGGTTGTTGAACATTGAGGCAATTCCTTGTTGTACTAGCTAATCTTCATTCGGGTCGAAAGAGCGCTCTCGTGAGTCTTGGCATGTAAGTGGTGTTCTTCATCTGGAACTGCGATGTTGGAAAGAGGTTCGGATTGCACCTTCTTAGCAAGGGTGGTAGATGGCTTATCTTTAGCAATATTCGGCCTTAGCTGAGGATGCAAACGACAGCAAATAGTAGAACTGTGGTCAAACATACTGCAATGAGAGCAATAAGAAGGATGTGGTTCTACTTCAACATTTTGCCAATACTCGTTGTGAATAGTGTCAATCTAAATCTCATCCAGAGCTGGTTGAGATACAAGCCACAGAGGGTCTAGTGACAGCAAGCGTAGGACTATCCACCATGAGAGGCTTACCATAGGCAGTTGCTAAAGAGTAGAGGATTTTCATGTTGAACAGACGTAATTTTAACCCCGAAAACTTTATCCAGACAGGAATGATAGGAGACTCCGCTTTTGGATCAAAACTGACAATACACTTCAGAATTTTCATCAAACGATTGTCAATCTTGATAACTTTTCGAGAAAAAATGCGAGTGTAATCTGCATCATAAGATAGCTGAATAAGTATGTGTCTTTCGTCAAGTAGACCAATGTTCCAACTGCCCATAGCTTCATAGCATCAAACTCTTTCCTAATGATCTCCAGTTTTGGGTGACCATAAAGGAATTTCCCCAGTAGAGCAAAACGTCAAGAAGATGCGAGAGTACCGGTTTCAATCTCTGTGAGAATAAATGCAGGTTTCCCATTTTTTTTCCAAGTTTTTTAATAAAAGTATGATCACCTCCACCTTCAAGAACCTCGTGAAAAGTTTCTGGAATATTGCAGGACTTACCAATAGCAAAACCAGGCGTTGAACCAGGAGGGGAGGCATGAGCAAGAATGGATAAGTCGCCGGCAAGAGCATTTGCATAGGAACAAAGCGTTGAGACTATCTCCCTAACAAGATGGTCACGGTTAGGAGAGAAACAGTAGCGGGCCGCAAAGACGCGAGCAAACCTCGGGCTCGATTCGTCTGAGCGAGACAGCCGCAGGGAGAAATGTCGTCGACTACGGGAGATGACTGCGAGCAAAAGCGCAGGAGAGATGCCGAAGACGACGACGACCGGACGATCCTCGTCGACTACGAAGACGCTAGAAGCTTTCGAACTTCAACAGGAGAGACGTCGAAGACAAGGAGCTACAGCTACGTTTACACCGTCGTGGGAGACGCTGAAGAGAAACGAAGAAGTCGATAGGATCACCACCGGGAATAGTCGCCATGGGGCGAAACCCTAGCAGAGCGTGTCGTTGCCGACGCCATCAAAAAGCAACTAGCTGTAACCAGAAGGACTTAAAATACGACATACATACATATACATACACATATATATACATATATATATATATGCATTTTTCGCTCCTCTGTTTTCGTAGAGCTTCGTCGAGCTGCTCTCGTATGCGGCCCCGATCGCGGCTCGTATTGGACTAATATATGTATGTGTGTGTGTGTAGATGTATCTATATATACATTCTTTTTAGAAAGCCCAAAAGCTAATAAATTAATTAGATAGAAGGATACAGATGGATTGTGTAGGAAGGCCCAAGCACGACACCGTGCCCACACGATAAGCACAAGTTGTTCTAAAACGAGTAAATATAGAAAAATACATGAGAGACCTAAGGAAAAAACAAAAAAGTATCAAAATATGTAATAGCATGTAGCTAGAGAGCAACCCAATTATATCTTGTCTCTGCCTCTAGTTCTAGGAAAGGAGACAGCTAATAAATTTGTAAGATAAGCTTAATTGCAAGTAGTAACCAATGTATCATCCAATAGGTTCCTGAGCTCGAGTCGGCCACCATTCTTCTTCTTCCTCCTGGAATAGACCTGTCATTCTTTATCCGAAAATTAGCTCACATGATCGGTGGATTGTTCTAAAGTTTGTCGAACATGTGTAGGTTGTTAAACATTAGAAAAAAATACTTGTGGTACCAGCTGATCTTTTATTGGATCAAATGAGCACTCTCGTGTGTCTTGGCATGTAAGTGAGCTTTATTCAATAACAGTGGGTGATAAAAGCACGATTGGATCTTTACCTGTAGTATGGTGTTCTTCATCAAGAACTGCGGTGGTGGAAAGATAATCGGTTTGCATCTTCTCAATTGGGATGGTAGGTAGCTGATTTTTAGTGATATCCAATCTTAGATGAGGATGCAAACGATAGAAAATAGTATAATTGTGGCCAAACATACTACAATGAGAACAATAAGAAGGGTGTGGTTCTATTTCAACCTTTTGCCAATACCCATTGTGAATGATTCTAATTCATATATCATTTAAAGCTGGCTGAGTAATATCTCTCTCAACTAAAACACAAGTCACAGAGGGTTTGGTGACAGCAAGCATAAGACTATCAACCTTGAGAGTTTTATCGTAAGTAGTTGCTAAGGAGTAAAGAATTTTCAGGTTAAACAGATGTAATTTTAACCCCGAAAACTTTATCCAAACATAAATGATAGGAGACTCCGCTTTTGGATCAAAATCAACAGTTCACTTCAGAATTTTCATATAACGGTTGTCTAATTTGATAACTTTCCGAGAAAAAATGCGAGTGTAATAGGCATCGTGAGATAACTAAATAATTATATGTCGACCGTCAAGTAAACCAATATTTCAACTGCCTACAATAAATATATCTATATAAATATACATATATATACAGTATCATCAGAAGGTGATTTGAGTTGCAATCATTATAATGTTCTAATAAATGGGAAAACACGTGGTTACTTTTCTTCTCAATTGATAGATCTCAGAAAGATAAACTATTTAAGACATGGGAAAACAAATTTTCTTGAACTCACTGAATGATTGCGTCATGCTAAACCGACTCCTTGGACATTTTGTTGTGTGCGAAGCGAATTCATGATATTTCTAAAGGTTTAAAAGTTATTTGGAGCTTCATCCCGAGGGAAAGTAACCATCCTGCTAATTGGCTTTCTAAATCTGCCTCTACCTCTAAGTATGATGTTATTGATGTTGTCCCTCCACCCCTTCTCAAAGTACTCCTACATGGTGATGGCTGGGAGCTTTCTTATCTTAGTTGCAAATCTCTTTTTTTCCTTTTTTTTTTTGGTTTTGTTGGTTTAGTTGTACATTTTGGAGATTATTTGAATGAGTTGTAATCTCGGCTTTGTGGTTCCATAGGTTTTCTTTTTAGATGTGGTGTTTTTTGGGGCGGGGCCTACTGGCCACCTTTTGTAATTAATTTTGTATCAATATTTGAGTGTTTTGAGGTTTAGCAGGTGGCCACCTTTGATTTATTATTGTATCAATAAAACTCCCTACTGGTTTACTAATATATATATATATATACATATGAAAGCCGAAAGACTAATATATTAAATAAAAAATAGGGTATAGATAGATTTTGTGAGAGATCCCAAAAATGACACTCAGCCCACACAAAAACCACCATATCAAATAGTTTTAAAAAAGAAAAAATACAGTCTAAAAAAATAAAGACCAAAAAGTGCCAGAATAGGAGTATCAGGTAGTTGGAGAGCAACCCAACTTTGGTTTGCCTCTACCTCTAGTTCTAGGGAAGGAGTCAACTAATAAATTGATCAGATGAGTGTCATTGTCAGTAGTAACCAATATATCATCCAACAGATTCCCTAGCTCGAGTTGTCCTCCGTTCCTCTTCTTCCTCCTCTTGTAGACCTGTCATTCTTCATCCGAGGATTGGCTCATCTGATCAGCAGAATGGTCTGAAGTTTGCAGAATATGTGTAGGTTGTTGAACATTAGAGACAACTACTTGTTGTACCAACTGATCTTCTTTCGGGTCGAAAGAACACTCTCGTATGTCTTGGCAAGTAAGCGGGGTTTCTTCAATAACAGTAAGTGGTATCAGCACATTTGGATCTGTACCTATGGTAAGGTGTTCTTCATCTGAAACTGCGAAGTTGAAAAGAGAATCGGATTGCACCATCTCAGCAAAGATGAAAGATGGTACAGCAAAGATGGTAGATGGCTGATCTTTAGCGATATTCGGCCTTAGATGAAGATGCAAACGATAGCAAATATTAGAACTGTGGCCAAACATACTACAATGAGAGTAATAAGAAGGGTGTGGT